CCTTGTTGGAGAATGTGTGGCAGGTGTGTCCCTGCAGGGGAAGGGGGCAGGCTTTGAAGTCTCAGAAGCTCAAGCCAGGCCCATGTGTCTCAGTGTCTTCCTGCTGCTTGTGGATCCAGATGTAGAACTCTCAGCTCGTCCTCAGCACCATGCCCACCTGCATGTCTGCATATTTCCTGCCTGCTGATAAGGGGCTAAACCTCTGAACTGTAAGCCAGCCCCAGTTCAGTTCCTTTATAAAAGTTTCCATGGTCAGGGTTGGAGAGATGACTCAGAGGTTAAGAGCACAGGCTGCTCTTCCAGAGGTCCTGAGTTCAATTCCCAGAAACCACATGGTAGCTCACAACCATCTGTAATGAGGTCTGGTGCCCTCTTCTGTCATGCAGGCAGAATACGGTATACATAATAAGTGAATAAATCTTTTCAGAGTTGCTATGATGGTGGTGGCTCTTCACAGCAATAGAAAGCCTAACTAAGACAGCTACCTCAAGGAGTAAGGTAGAAGACTGATGAGAATGCACCCCTGAACCCAACTTCCAACCTCTACATGCACACACGCACATGTGTACTCACACTGACCCCTACACACGCACTCACATGTGCATGTACCCCCACATATATGCACATACATGTGCAGGCACACTCCACCCCCACATGTGTGCACACATGTGTGCAGGTACACCCATCCCCATATGCATATGTACACATATGTGAACTCACATCCATACTTTCACGTGTGTGTGCACACCTACCCACACATGTGTGAAATGGTCTTCTGTGTATATGTTTGTCTTATTGGTTGATGAATAAAGCACTGTTGGCAAATAGGGAAGCAAGATAGGTGGGACTAGGAGAGGTGAAGGATTCTGGGAAACAGAGGCACAGTCAGTTACCATGTAGGACATGAGAGGAGCAAGAGGTCCAGACCCTTTCTCAGGTCAGAGAAGACCACGTGGAAATACTCAGATTAGCAGCTATGGGTTAATAATTAAGTCAGAGCTAGCCAACAAGAAACCACAGCAAACGGCCAACAGTTTCATAATTAATATAGTGTCCTGCGTGTTCATTTGGGACTGACGTGGCTCTGGGACCAGGCTGGTGGGAAGAATACTCTTGATACACACTCACATCCCTACATGCATATACACACTTGTGCACTCACACCCAAAACCCCACATGCATGCACACACATGTGCATGTACACCTTCCCCACATGCACACACCCATACACACGCGCACACACACACACACACACGCACACACACGCACAGCCCTTTCAGCATCCAGACATGACTCTTCCCAGGCTCCCAAATCCTCACAAGGGCCTGGCCTGGGAGAAGAGTAGTCGCTGACCTAGAAGAAGGACTGGCTTCTAGTCCTCAGTCTGCTGCTCACCGGCCGTGTGACTTTGGGCAACTGATCCCCTTTCTTCCTTTGTCTAGGCTTGGTGCGATATGTGTGAATAAGGGTAAACACCTTGGCTAGAGAGGCGACAAGTGCTTTATACACTAAAAACACTAGTGTTCCTTAATGACAGGAGAAGGGCTAGAAAGATGCCCCAGTGTTAAGAGAACTTGCTGCGCTTGCAGAGGACTCGGGTACAGTTCCCAGTGCCCACACGGTAGCTCACAATCATCTGGAACTCTAGTTCCAAGCAATCTGATGCTCTCTAACATCCAAGGCACCAGGCATGCACATACAACATATACATCCATGCAAAACATTCATACACATAAAATTATTCTTTTTATTTTAAAATTGCAGGTAATATGTACATTTATCACTATCCCTACCTGAGATCCACCAAAATATGTTTAGAGGAATCCTTAAAGAATAGATAAACTAGCCGGGCGGTGGTGGCACATGCCTTTAACCCTAGCACTTGGAGGGAGGCAGAGGCAGGTGAATCTCTGTGAGTTTGAGACCAGCCTGGTCTACAAGAGCAAGTTCCAGGGCAGCCTTCAAAGCCACAGAGAAACCCTGTCTCAAAAAACCAAAAAAACCAACCAAACAAACAAAAGAATAGGCAAGCTATAGAGAAAGGGGAGGCATGAGAGGACCCAGGGTTTCGGGGGCTAATGTGTCTGAGGAAAGGGACAGCATGGCTGTGAAGACAAAAGGAGAAATCTGGGCCAAGAGGACATCTAGCCCCTGCCACAGACCCAAGAGAAGCCCAGGAATTGCAGGCACTGGGATCAGACAGCAGGCCCAAGACCAACACTGAAAATGGAGATGCAAAGCTGTACCAGACCCACACTGGTTCCTTACCTTCTTCTCCACCAACTGGATACAGCAGGTTAGCTTGTGAAAGGTTTCAGGCAAGGCTGAGCCCAGGGAATAAGGCAGACAGCAGAGGGCCCGGAGATGGGAGGAAGAGTACAGACTGCAGGGGTTACCAGCCTCCTCCCCAGAACACAGCACTCACTGCACAAGCCTCACCCAGAATGGAAGAGTCTCCTCTAGGGAAGCCCAGGGTCCCAGAGAAAGTCCCGGGAGCACGATAAGGGACTGATGGACCCAGCCAGTCCCTCATCATTAGACTCAGGGGCATTGGCAGTGTTTTTCTCTTCAATATGAGTGAACAGGGAAGAAAAGGAAGAGCCAAGAAGAGCTGGAGACAACGCGCTTAGGAAAACTGTAACGTGCCCTTAGGTAAGAGAGCATCCTACATCAACAGCACAGAACCGACACTATGAAAGGAAAAGGAGCAAGCAGTAAAACGGAAGGGTTCTTGGGGATTAAAAATATGACAGAATCAGGACTTGGAAACCAGGACACAGAAATTTTACCAGAAAGAACAGAAAAGGTGACATAAGAAGAAAAAAGAAAAGAAACTAGGAGGTGGGGAGATAGCTCGCCGTGTATAGTTCATCCAAACTCCAGACCTTCCAAGTGCAAGGACTGGAGTTCGGGTTCTCAGAGTTCATGTAGAAGCCAGGTAGTCATGACAGGGTCCTGTAACCACAGCACGTGGGAGGCAGAAGCAGGAGGTGGGAGAGGGAACCCTCGAGCTAACCTGGTAGGTAGAGAGCTGATCAAGGAGTTCTGGGTCCCCCTGAGAGACCCTGCCTCAGTAAATCAAATGAAGACACTGACATCAACTTCAGTCTTGACATACATGTGTACATGTACATACACCTGCAACATGTGTGTACACATACACACTTTCACACACACATACTATGTACATGTATACATGTTTAAAAAAAAACAAGAAACTAGAATGCCAAATAAAGACATCTGACATAGATCTAAAAGAGAGAAGAAAATGGGGCATTAGAAATCATCACAGACAAAACCCCAAAATCAGACTTCCCCAGAGGAGAACCTGAGCTTACAGACAACAGACGGACACCAAGTGCCCAGCACTGTTTGAAAATAAGCTACATATGGCACATCACCATGAAGATTCAGAACACGGGGACAAAGAAGACCCTGGAAGTTTCCAAAGAGAAACATGCAGGTCACATGCACAAGCCAAAATGACATCAGGTTTTAGAGCCAAGCTGGAAGTTAGAAAGTGTTCAGCAAAGCCTTCCAAATCCTGAAGGAAATGAATCCCTATGTGACGATTTCCAACCAGACTATGGGTCAGCCGTGAAGGTAGGGAAGGTGAACAGCGCTCTCACACGTGAAATCTATTAGAACTCTTACTTCCCACTGCCCTGTCTCAAGAACCCCCAAACAACCCAGCACTCGGGAGGCAGAGACGGGCGGATCTCTGTGAGTTCGAGTTCGAGGCCAGCCTGGTCTACAGAGTGAGTTCCAAAAAAAAAAAAAAAAAAAAAAAAAAAAGAACCCCCAAACAAATAATCAAACCAAGGAAGAGGAGGCTAAGAGACTATTTTTATACAAATAAAACCATCTTAAAATTACATTTAAAGCCGGGTGATAGTGGCACAAGCCTTTAATTCCAGCACCTGGGAGGCAGAGGCAGGCGGATCTTTGTGAGTGCAAGGCCAACCTGGTCTGCAGAGTAAGTTCCAGGACAGCCAGGGCTACACAGAGAAACCCTGTCTCAAAAAAACAAAACAAAACAAACAAACAAAAAAGTTAAAAACTAGAGATGGCTCAGCAATTTAAGGGCTTGCTTGCCAGAAAAGCATGAGGACCAGAGTCAGGATCCCTGGAATCCCACGTTGGGTGGGCATAGTAGCCTTCCTCTAATGCTCATCTAGGGAGATGGAGAGCATGGATTCCCAGAGCAAGTGCTCCAGAAAGAAGACACATATCAGTGAGCTCTGGGTTTGATTGAGAAGCTCTGCCTCAATGAAAAAAGTAGAAGAGTGCTCAAGAATGAATTTCAGTTATCAACCCCATGGCTCCACATGCATGGGCACCCACACACATGCAAAGTATGCATACATGCACACCCACACACACATGAAAATGGGAAAAGAAACAAAAAATATAAGCTCTGAGCAAACTGTCTGGTCCCTGGCACTGGGTTGTCAGAATGCCCGTTCTATAATTTCCCAGAAAGAAAACATTCATTTCTAAAGTGCATGTTCCATCAAATTCAAGCAAATCCAGAATTGAGTTCTACTTTAACCTCTTAGATCAGTAAAACACACAGTCGCTGATATCTGTGACCTCCTCATAGTTTGCCATGGGGCTTCACAAGCCCCACATGCTTAGACTTCACAGTGTCCTGGAATGACCGTTACCAACCCTTGACGGACACCAAGAACTTGGGGTTCTGTGAGATGCAAGCACCTAGGGCTAACCCTAGGTGGAGGAAGGCTGAACAAGTCGCCTTTTCCTCACTCTTGACTGATTACCCCATTTGTATCTCCTCAGCCCTCTGCTCACCTCACAGCTGAAGGACACGAAGCTCAACCCACCTCACGAAGCCAGTACATGCTGACCAAACTCTAAACAGAATGTCTTCAGGGTCTCTGCTGGTGGCTGGCATGGGAACCAAGCATGCTCCTCTTCCAGGCCACCAAGGGTCACACTACCCCCCCCCAGTCCCTTCCAAGAGCTCCAGCTATACTCACTGTAAGAGTTTGTCTCGGGCTGGGTCGAGCAGGTAGCGCTTGGATCCATTCAGGAACAGAGAGCGGTATCGCTGCCTTCTGTCTATGGTTTCCATCAGTGTGGTATTGAGGTAGCGGCCTACCCCAACTGGGTTCTGCTCCAGGGAGAATACAACAGGATGTTTGTGAGTATGGCTTAAGGCTTGCCCGCAGGTTTTTCTCCTCCCTTCAGGCCCCGGACACCCCCCAAAGATTATGAATCAAACTGTGTTCCCCCCAAAAAAGTTCTGAAACCCTAATCTTAGTGCCTCACACTGTGACCTTAGTGGAGAATTGGGTTGTTGCAGACATAATGGTTTGAGACGAGGCCATGCTGGAGCAGGAGGGACCCTGGTCTAATATGACAGGTGTCATTGTAAGAAAAGGTACTCAGTGGGGGAGACAATCATACACAGAGGCAGAGATATGAGTGGTCCAGTCATAAGCTGGGAGAGCCAAGAGTCTCTGGCCACCAAGAGATGCAAAGAGGCAAGGAAGGATTCTCCACCACCAGTTTCACAGGGAGCATGGGTTCTAGCCTTTCCAGCATCCAGAGCTGTGAGAGAACAGCTCCATTCACTAGGCCACCTGGTTTGTTCTCCTTTGAATAACACCTAGGCCTTCTTGCCCATGTGTCTGCCATAGAAGAGGCCCAGAGACAAGACGTGACTTTTCAAGATGACATAGTAAGGCCGTGACAGAGAAGCACAGGACATAATAAGATCAGAGTCTAAGCCATTCTCAAGCAGGTGTCCAGAGGGGGCTTCCCACCCTGCCTTGGGAACTGGCCCTCACATGGCCCTTCCGCTTTGCATAGCTGGCTGTGAGAATTTTAATTGTCAACTTGATACAACCTAGAGTCACCCAGGAAGAGTCTCAACGACAGACTGTCTGGATCAGGTTGGCCCCTGGGCATGCCCAGGAGATGGTCTTGATTTCATTGATTGATGTGAGAAGATCCAACCTGTCAGGACCATTCTGGGTTTGGGTCCTGAACTGTACAAGAGCAGAGAGATTGAGCTGAGCAGCACACATTTCTCTCTCTTCTTGACCAAGTTCAAATCTGGACAGAGCCTCCCTGTCTTGCTGGAGTGGCCTCTGTGTGATAATCAGATCTAATTGTCACAATCCAGAATCATACAGAAGGAGCTCTTAATGAGAAATTGTCTAGATTGAGTTGGCATGTGAGTGTGTCTGTGGGGGGTTGTATTGATTACGCTAATTGCAGCTCACCCCTTGAAGGCGGCACATTCCATGCTTGGGTTGTGAACTGTGTAAACACAGAGAGGGGACTGGACACAAGGAAGCATGCATGCATTAATTCACTCCTCTCCGCTCTTGACTGTGGCTGTAATGTGACTAGCTACCCCTTGACTGGAACTGGAATTGTAAGCCAAATAAGCCCTTTCTCCCACAACCCTTTGTCAGGGTTGACGGCAGCAATAGGAAAGGAAGCTGGAAACTTGTTGGGAATGTCGTTTCCAGCCCTCCTCCCCAAGGCATGCCGCGTTAGAAGCCATGGCACGAGGCCCATTAACCTGGCCCTTAACAAGCTCTCCATGCCTGCCAAAGTTGGAGACCCTAGAAAACAAGTGCCTGGAGAAATGAGACAGTGAGTGGGTGAGAGAGAGATAATAGGGGGCCCAAGGAGGATCTGTGTCAGGGGCACAAAGGGTCGGGGCTGTCTGGAGAAGCTGGAGAAGTTCCCTGTCCAACCCATGCTCCCCCAAGCCAGACACACTTACCCAGCTTCCCAAAATCATCTGGTAGACCTTATTGCCTGACCGCTTGGAGGCTAGGAGGAATGGCGGCCGGTTGATGTGTTTCTGTTCTGTCTCATGAGGGAGCCAAGAACCAGGGCCCGCTGTATCCTAGGGGTAAAGAGGGATAACTGAAGAAGACCTAGAAATCTCAGCCCAGGTCGGACAACAGGACTGATGGCAGCTGACCTCAAATGTCCAGCATCACCCACTCTACCACCCCCGACCACACCCTCTTTACAGGGCCCCAGGGGCCCTTGAGATGAGCAGAGACGTGCTCCAAACAGAAGCCTGGGACGGAGGCACACTGGCCCTGGAGCCCAATAGCGGAGTCTATATAGGGTCTCTCAGCCCTTACTGGGGAACCCAGTGAACCCTTTTCAAGCTCTGCACCCCAGTTTCCTTTTGTGATATGCGAGAGGTGTCCCTCCCAGCCTCCGTTGGGAGAGAGATGGACAGTGGTTCAGCAGGTGGTCAGAGTGCCCACGCCCTTTTTCTCCCCGACTTCATTTCTTCCAATGCATTTCTTCTCTTGGGGCAGACCCTGCCAGGGCCCACTCAGAAAACTGTCCACTGTCCCCCAGAGAGCACTGCCTTGAGGAAGCAGAGTCTGGCCCCTCCCTGGGTAGAGCAGGTACGCAAATCTGAGGATGGACCTTATCACACTCCATCTTGCCCAGTCTTCTCTGTCCATTCTCCAGATCTTTAAGGCCAAGGGCAGGAGGACAGGTAGGAATACATCACTGGTCGGGATTTCCTGGTGGACTGCCTCAGCCACTGGGTCAACACGGGTAACCCTAGTCAAAGCTGCAAGCGCTCGCTACATTCACATGCCAGGTGTGCGAAGTGAGGCTCAAAGTGACCGACCAGTGCAAGGCCAGATGGCAACCAAAGACTCAGCTTCCCACCCTACAAGACCGCTGCTCCCCACCCGCCTCCTGCAAACTCCCTAGCCTACTGGAGAGCCGCGTTCCAAGAGCGAAAACAGACCGTGGGGGTACACTGACCAGATTTCTGGGGTACTGACTAAGGGTAGTCCAATAAATTCTCTCTGTGGGGTGTTTCGGATCCCGGGGATATTTCGAAAACATCCCACGTTTCTTGTTGGGATATGAGTTAAGTTCTTCCACAAAGCTCTTGAAATTTGTCAGTTCCCTGGGCTTCTTTTTCTGAGGAATGAATGGGAAGAGAGAAAGAAACATTGTCCCAGGAAGGTCACAGGCTCACCAGCCCTCAGGGAAAAGCAAGCAGCACTGACGGGGTACCACTCAGCTCTGTCTCTGCTGGACCGGACTGCGCAGGCGCCAGGCCGGCCAGCTCGAATCAGGACCCATGTGCACACACGGGTACCCCAGGACCCATGTGCACACACTGCTACCCAGCTGGCCTTTACCCACACCTTCTTTTCTTCCTCTCACTCACTGAGCATTCGCTGTGCCAGTCAGGAATAATATTTCAAATATTTAAAGCCGAGTATGAACACAGATTTTTCATTTGCCCCTAGTGAAACTACTGTGTCCAATCACAAGAGTCAAAACTCACGGAGTGGGCAAAGGCATTTGCTTCAGTGGACTTGCTCTGGGACCTCCACACACTTGCCAGGATGTACACACACACACACACACACACACACACACACACACACACACACTTTGGGGGTTCATTTTGTTTCATTTTTTGAGATAAGATCTAACTATGTACCCTTGGCTAGCCTGGAACTTGCTGTATAGACCAGGCTAGCCTCCAACGCACAGAGATCCAACTGCCTCTATGAGACCATGCCCAGCTTAAAAAAGAAAGGAAGAAAAGAGGAAGGAAGGAAGGAAGGAAGGAAGGAAGGAAGGAAGGAAGGAAGGAAGGAAGGAAGGGAGGGGGAGGGAGGGAGCGAGGGCGGGAGGGAGGGAGGGAGGGACGGAGGGAGGGAGGGAGCGAGGACGGGAGGGAGCGAGAGCGGGAGGGAGGGAAGGAGGGCAGGCCAGTACACAGAATAACTACCATGAAGAGAATCACTCTAAAACTACTGGCTGTGGCAATCAATGACATGTACCTGAGGTTCCTTAACTAGCAAATGCACTGCTCTGTGTGGGCTTTTGACAGTGGGGGTGGGGTGGGGGTGGGGAGATGGGTTAGGGGAGAAGTGCAGCCTGAGCTCGCCGAGCTTGATCTCATTCTACCTGATGGAATGACAGCGCCACTCCTGCAAGTCATCCTCTGTCCTCCACAAGCGTGACATGAAACAGCAAATGCATGTACATGTTTAAAGATTCACGGGGGGGGGGGGGCTGGAGAGATGGCTCAGAGGTTAAGAGCACTGACTGCTCTTCCAGGGGTCCTGAGTTCAATTCCCAGCAACCACATGGTGCCTCACAACCATCTGTAATGAGATCTGGTGCCCTCTTCTGGTGTATAGACATACATGCAGGCAAAACACTGTATACTTAATAAATAAATCTTTAAAAAAAAATCCATGGGGCTGGAGAGACGGCTCAGAGGTTAAGAGCACTGACTGCTCTTCCAGGGGTCCTGAGTTCAAATCCCAGCAACCACATGGTGCCTCACAACCATCTGTAATTCAATCCGGTGCTCTCTTCTGGCATGTAGGCAGAACACCAAATATGTAATAAATAAATAAATCTTTAAAAAAAAAAGATTCACAGGGGTGTTCGTGTGGTGCAGGAAGCAGAGAGTAAGCAGAAACTCCGAATTTGCTTCTCAATTTTGCTGTGAACCTAAAATTGTCCTAAACAATAAAATCTGCAACAAAGACAGTCAAGAAGTTCAGCCCTGACTGTAGTAGCAAGGGGATGGGGGATGGGGGAGGGAGGGACGGGGAAATGGAGGAGGTGGGGGGCGGGGGGGGGGTTGGAAGAGGTGGTTCCCAAGGCCCTGTGTGCTGGCCCTACTGTGGCCTTCGTGGCAGGTAGATCTGGGAGACCCTAGGATCAGCCATGCTGTGGGACACAGAAGTGACTACGTACCAAGGGTTCACAGGTGTCCCCCTTCAACCACCTTCTCCCTAGGGCTGCTAACACCATCGCCACCACAAGGGCCTCCCACTAACACTGCAGCTTTATTCTACTCCTGGCTGACTGTGTTTTGCTTTCCCCTGGGCTGGAAGTCCCACAAGGGCTGCTTCCCTGCACCTCAGCTATGAACTGGACTAACCCTGCTCATACAGTGACTCCATGGTGGGGACAGGACAAACAGACAACTCAGGAAGCTATGAAACCCTGTAGCGGGGCTTTGATGGGGCCTGACAAATTTCTACCTCATCACCTTCCTCTTCCACTTTGGGACTCTACTACCCAGAGCACTGTCACCAACCCGGATAGGTTAGCTGGGTCCACGAAACCTGGGAAATGTTTACAGACAGCCACCTAACCCTGTGCCCTTGGGGTTCAGCAGGTCCGGCAACTGACTCATCAGCCCTGCATGCTGGACCGTCTGTATATCAGGATCAGATGTGTAAAGTCTGGCTCTGGGCGTGAACAAGGGAACACACACACACACACACACACACACACACACACACACACACACACACACACACCAGCCCACAGCAGCACATGGCACACAGGACTGTGTGCCTGTGGTCAATCCGTAGGGGGAGGGGTGGCCCTCACAGCCACCCACCCAGCCACATACCTGTATGGAATAATGTCCATAGGGCACAGGCTTGCTTCGTTCACAAGAGAAAATGTCATAGGGGCCGCGATTACCAGTGGACCGTGTCACATAGTTCTCGATGTCACTTTTGATGTTGTAGGTCCCAGGTCCCAGGCCACTGCCCTAGAGACAAAAGTGGTATAGGTGCTTCTAGGGGCATGGCCAAGGTGGGAAGGACTTCAGCCTCCCTGCCCTGAGGTCACCCTCCAGAACCATGCAGGGTGACCCTGGTGGAGAGTACCTGGTGAGACAAGGGGGGTAGCTTGTTGGACATCCTACACATGAGGCCCTCGGAATGGGAGCGGTTCCAGGCATTCTTCTCCAGGAGCGTGTAGGGATTGCCCTTCTCCCCGTAATTTCCAGGGCCTGGATAATAGTTCTGCAAGGAGGAGACAGACACACCAAGGCTGTCAGTCCCACTCTCTGCGCTGGGTCATTCCAGGAAGGGACGCCTGGGGTTTCGAGTCGTAAGGAAAACAAGGTTTTCAGATGGTGCGTGTGTTAACCACCCCATCACACAGCAAGCCTCCTCCGTCGCTCACCCCTTCAACTCGTGTACCTGCCGTTCAGCCTGGTCTCCCTGCTCCTGTCTGCTTGGCAGCCTTTTACCCCTCAGAACTCCTTTCCTACTCCCTGGCTGGGCGATTATGCCAACCCTGCAAAGATCCCCAGATACTGTCTCTCCTGGGACCCACACTTTCCTCCGCAGCACACAGGCAGCTAGCTCTTCGGCAGGTTCAATTTGCCTACCACACCTACAGCTCTGTGACTGGCTTCCTCACTGGGCTGTCAACAGGCTGGGATGGATGAGCACCGGGAGTCCCAGGTTGGGACTCTTGGCTCTGCTCCTTCCTAGCTGGGAGAGCTTGGGCCTTGAGCTTCATGGCCCATTGGACTAGCACAGATGGTAATACTTTCCTGCAGGGGACTGGAGATGGGGTTAAATAGACATCTGCAAAGACTTCTGCCCAGGTCCTGGCACAAAGCAGGCCCCATCACACAAGTCAGGGTGAGGTGACTGGAAGTTTTAGGGGCAAAGGAACTGTGCCTAGGAGAGTATCAGAGGCCCGGATTAGCTTCTAGGGCCAGACATTGATCTTCAAAGTACAATGAGCAGGATTAATCGGTGGTATAGGGAGGTGGGGCTTGTCTTGGGCGATATGCACCTTTTAGCCACATGGGGGCACTGCTGCTACACAGATGATGCAGCCCACCTCACCTCTGGGTCCAGCAACCAGACCCCAGAGGTGGGACCTGCGCATGAAAAATCAGGCCACTGTGAGGATCTGGTCTGTCTGTCCCCAGAAAGATGAGATGGGTCTTGCTTCCTCCCATGGCTCACAGCGCGTGGTGCATTCTGGAGATATCCCATTGTTAGGAAGCTGGGCCTCTAACTGTGCTGACTTGATTCAAAGCCATAACAGCAACCAGACGAAACCAAGCCAGCATCCCCTGTAATCAACACACAGGAAACATGTCTCTAAAAGCCAGATTGAACAGATGCTCCAAGGTGCTCCTTCAGCTGTCAGTCAAGTCCTTGGCCTTGCCAGACCTCAGTGTGCTCTCCCTGCACCTAAAAGGACACTCGAAGGCCTTCCTTTGGCTGCAAGGTCCTCCTCGCAGCCTTCACTCAGAACCCTCTTATTTCCCACCTCACCCACTCTCTCTAGCCTGCCTATCGTATTCCCACCTCAGGTCCTTAGCCTATTCTGTTCCCCTTTCCGGGAATGTTCTAGAGCAAGAATCGGTTGCCATGAGAACCCTTGCTCACAACCTGCATGTTTAGTCCCAGAAGGCCCTTCCCAGACTGCTCCCTGTAGCCCACCCCATGGCACAGTCCTTCCTGTGCCATTCCCCTCAGAGCCCTGACCAGATATGTATTTCCTTCTTCGCGCTGTGGCTTGTGTCCCTAGGTGCCCACTCGCGTCACTGCTGGGTCCCTCAAGGCCTAGTTCAGTACAAGTCCTTCTGTTGTTGCTTAATCACTAGTTCCTGGTTGGCCGGCTAAATGGACAGATTTGTTGAGCTTCCAGTATATTCTGGGTTGCTTCTGCATCCTGGAGAAGAACCACATTCACCCCTTCTGGAGCATCTGGGCTCCAGGCTGAGGCATGGGAGAGCAGAAAGGCCAGTGAGCCAGAGGAGAGAGCCTGACCAAGCCTAGGGAGGAAACATGTTCAAAGAACCATGCTCCCTAAACTCCCCAAGCTGCAACGCTCTTCCCACGAAGGCCAGAGGGTGGAGGGAACGGGAGCACCTACCCCGATGAGTCCTCGGAAGCGGGCCTCCCCGGAACTGAGCAGCCCCCTCTTGCTCTGTGGCCTCTGCTGCAGCTGGGTTAGGAAGTCTTTGAAGTTGTAGGAGCCAGGCCCTAGCTTGTGTGCCTGCCCCAAAAGAAGAGACCATAGGATGGGAAAGGAACCAGGGAAGGTCCAGCCAGGAAGGAGCCCAAGGGATGATGGTGATCTCCAAGAGCAAGTGACAGGGGTGATCAGAGTCCCCCGGGGACTCTGAAGGAATAGCCATGTGGACAGGAAACCTGGTTCCTGGAGGTGGGAAGGGCCGAGCTCCAAGCCTCACCTGCTGCCGTCTCTCCTTCATGATAGCCTGGTACTGGAAGTGAGGCAGCCGGGTCAGCCGAGCAGCTTCTTGGGCCCGAGCCCAGCCAGTGCCCAACTTCTGTTCCAGAAACTTCTTGCTGAAGCAGGTATCCTTGGAGTTATAGGTCCCAGGTCCTATATGGGACTAAATGAGAGCAGGCTCAGAGCTGAGTCAGTCATAACCATCTAGTCCCTCCAACCCCCCATCCCCAGCAAGTCCTCCCCCAAGTCACCCTTGACCTGGAAATGGAATCAGACAGTCCCCCAGCCTGATAACCAGGGACTCTGCACTCAGGAGTCAGTCCGGATTGCCCTGTCACTGTTCCTCTTCAGGGAAATACAGTACAGAGTCAGGCTGGTGCTGAAGCTGTAGAAGGAAGCCCGTGGCCCTAAACTCCTAACTTTTCACCACAGCCCTGAGTTTGTCAAACGCATCTGAAGGCCCAGTGAGCCAAGCTTGGGGTGGAGCATGCTGGGGTGGGGTGGAGCATGGGGTGGGGTGGAGCATGGGGTGGGGTGGAGCATGCTGGGGTGGGGTGGAGCATGGGGTGGGGTGGAGCATGCTGGGGAGGGGTGGAGCATGGGGTGGGGTGGAGCATGGGGTGGGGTGGAGCATGGGGTGGGGTGGAGCATGGGGTGGGGTGGAGCATGGGGTGGGGTGGAGCATGGGGTGGGGTGGAGCATGGGGTGGGGTGGAGCATGGGGTGGGGTGGAGCATGCTGGGGTGGGTTGGGGGAGGGGCACAGACCCCACACCAGGGGAGGCAGACTCACCACTTCCACAGAGTGATGCCTGGAGTAGGGGGCCTCTGTGAAGGTGCTTAATTTCTTCTGGTTGGGATAAACAGCAGAGACATCAAACCTGGGGAGTCATGTAGCCAAGTGAGAGCCCAAAGGCTGACATCCGGTCCTGGCTGGGGCAGCCCCGGGGTACAAGGGAGTCGGTTTCCGGGGGGGGGGGGATGACTTTGGAGCTAGCCCTTGGGAGTCACCGTGGATCTGCTTCATTGCTTGAGAGGACAGACTACCACTAGTCATCGCCCCCACGCTCTGCTTCTCCTCACAGCTTCCGTTTTCTCAAAGTCCTTGTTATCCTCCCACCTCAGACAATCACACTGCATAGAGTACACTTTACATCACCTTTACTGTACTTTTAATAGTGTACAGGATTACTCTCCATACAGACAGTCACACTGCATAGAGTACACTTTACATCACCTTTACTGTACTTTTAATAGTGTACAGGATTACTCTCCATACAGACAGTCACACTGCATAGTGTACACTTTACATCACCTTTACTGTACTTTTAATAGTATACAGGATTACTCTCCATACAGACAGTCACACTGCATAGTGTACACTTTACATCACCTTTACTGTACTTTTAATAGTGTACAGGATTACTCTCCATACAGACAGTTACACTGCATAGAGTACACTTTACATCACCTTTACTGTACTTTTAATAGTGTACAGGATTACTCTCCATACAGACAGTCACACTGCATAGTGTACACTTTACATCACCTTTACTGTACTTTTAATAGTGTACAGGATTACTCTCCATACAGACAGTTACACTGCATAGTGTACACTTTACATCACCTTTACTGTACTTTTAATAGTGTACAGGATTACTCTCCATACAGACAGTCACACTGCATAGAGTACACTTTACATCACCTTTACTGTACTTTTAATAGTGTACAGGATTACTCTCCATACAGACAGTCACACTGCATAGTGTACACTTTACATCACCTTTACTGTACTTTTAATAGTATACAGGATTACTCTCCATACAGACAGTCACACTGCATAGAGTACACTTTACATCACCTTTACTGTACTTTTAATAGTGTACAGGATTACTCTCCATACAGACAGTCACACTGCATAGTGTACACTTTACATCACCTTTACTGTACTTTTAATAGTGTACAGGATTACTCTCCATACAGACAGTCACACTGCATAGTGTACACTTTACATCACCTTTACTGTACTTTTAATAGTGTACAGGATTACTCTCCATACAGACAGTCACACTGCATAGTGTACACTTTACATCACCTTTACTGTACTTTTAATAGTATACAGGATTACTCTCCATACCGCCTCATGACCTCAGCTCTAGAACCATGTGTGGCAATAGGACATTTATATGCGACCATATTAAATATAATATTAAAAATATGACATCTGGGCACAGTGGTGCACACCTTTAATCCCAGCATTTGGGAGGCAGAGACAAGTGGATCTCTGTGAATTTGCGGCCAGCCTGGTCTACATAATGAGTTCCAAGACAGCCATTGTTATGTAGAGAGGAGGAGGAGGAGGAGGAGGAGGAGGAGGAGGAGGAGGAGGAGGAGGAGGAGGAGGAGGAGGAGGAGGAGGAGGAGAAGAAGAAGAAGAAGAAGAAGAAGAAGAAGAAGAAGAAGAAGAAGAAGAAGAAGAAGAAGAAGAAGAAGAAGAAGAAGAAGAAGAAGAAGAAGAAAAGAAATATGACATCTAAGCTGCCAGCCCACTCAGAACTGGACAGGTCATGTGGCCTCTCTCAGTATGTTACATAAAGGTGTTCTAGAAATAGTTTTGCAAGAGCTTTTGTATTCTGTTATAGTAGTGTAACAATACAAAAGAATTTAGAGGCCAGGCGTAGTTGTTTGTGCACGCCTTTAATCCCAGCGCTTGGAGGGCAATGGCAGGCAGATCTCTGTGAGTTCAATGCCAGCCAGGGCTAAGGAGCAGAGGAGAAGAGGAGGAAGATGGAGGAGGAAGAGGAGGAGGAGGAGGAGGAGGAGGAGGAGGAGGAGGAGACTCAGACCCTGGGCCGGGAAGTGAGAGGTGGGGGAGGGGCGACCCAGCCCTCTTCCCCTTCTGCCCCCGGGCCCCAGGCCTCAGGATTAGCCCCTCTCTCCCGAGGCAGAGGACCTGGTGGGGCCCACAGGAACTCCCTCGGACTCTGGATGTCAGCCCAGGAAGCGGTTGGGCCCCACCTGTGACTCTGTACCCCGAAGGGCGCCCCTTTGAACCACTTAGGGGAGATGGACATGGTGTTGCGCGGGGGGGTCGTGGCGTCCCACTGAGTCTGACCTCCAGCCTGCCCCCCCACCCCCGCACACAGCACAGCCCTGACATCCGCGCGCTGCCAAGGCAACCCGCATCCTGGGCGTTGTGATTCAGCAAGCACAGACCTGCTTCGTGCCACGTGGGATGTTACCAGCCTGCTGGTTGCCTCCTGGCGTTTTCATTCATTTTTATATTCCCAATGCGGCCTTGCCAGAGACAATTCTCGCGATCTTGAGGCCCTTAGGATCTCTCCCGGGGCTTAATGCTGTGTTCCTGCCACTTGGTGGGAATCTCTTTATTTCTGCTCAGACCTGGGAAAGACCAGGCTCAGGAATTGCCTTCGTGCTGACCTTGCGTTGAGGAAAATCAACAGGAGAACACATTTGGAAATTCTGTTCCTTCTCTACTGGGAAGGCAAGGAGGGTGGAACATGGAAGGCAAGTAAGGGGAAGAGAGGTGAAGGGTCTCGGAACATCGGTGGGGATATAGCAGCGTCGGACTGGTCCATCCTCATTCGCCCACTCTAAGTAAGGGGAAGAGACAGGTGAAGGGTCTCGGAACATCGGTGGGGATATAGCAGCGTCGGGACTGGTCCATCCTCAGATGCCCACTCTAAGTAATGGGAAGAGAGAGGTGAAGGGTCTCGGAACATCGGTGGGGATATAGCAGCGTCGGGACTGGTCCACAGACGCCCACTCTAAGTAATGGGAAGAGGAAACATCATTGGGGATATAGCAGCATCGGGACTGGTCCATCCTCGGACACTCACTCTAAGCAGACACTGAAGAATGTCTGCAACCCAAACGTGGTCCCTGTCTTCCGAATAATAGGGAGAATGACAAGCTTGGCCAGGCTGCAGGCAGGACTTCAGGGTGGGACTGGGCCTGTGGGCAGGTACTTCAGGGAAAGCTTTCTAGAGTAGAATCCTATACAAGGAAGCCCTCGCTAAGTGAAGAAAGAAGGGAGGGTGTGCCCCCAACCTGGCATGACCAGCTCTCCTTTCCCCCACAGATAGCATCCTCTGGATGTGCTATGTAAATGCCTGATTCTCCATCATTATCTATGTACATCCCACTCCCCAGATAGTGACAGGATGGCTGGAGCTAGGGGATATGCACAGTCCTGCATCCAGCCAATGGCGACACAAAGGCACAGCGGGCCTCTTGCAGCCCGCCCTCCACCATTGCTACCAAAGCTAGTATTTAAATGGAGGGCTGGACTTCTAGCTGCAGGCCCGGTAGCCACATAGTCAAAGCTGACAGAGCAGCCTCAGTACACCGCTGAGCTGGTGGGTGGAGGCAGCAGCCATGGCCTCCGTCCCACGCCAACACTGGGCCCTTAAGAGAGTCACTTCCTTCTCTTGGTCTCAGCATGCTTACCTGGAAAGTGAAGCAATACTCTTATCTCCCAGACTCCTGAGAGGAGTTAAATGACCTGCTTTAGGTGCAAGTGTTCAGAGTCATTCCCAACCCTTGGAAAGAGCCTCTCGGAGATCTACAGAAAGAGACTGTTTTGTTCACTCTTGGCACAGTACTTGCCATTAGAGAGCATGCAGTAAATATTTGTTGAGTGATAAGAAATGAATAAATGAATGTAGTCCAATTTCTCAGTGACCCGTAAGTTTGAAGCCTGGTTCTTCTGTTTCCTAGCTGGTGACCCTGGATAAGGTATGTTCATGAGGCTTCCATTTCTTGACCTGGGACAGGACATATGACTGGAGTCTCCTTGGAGAGCAATACTGAAGTGTCATGGAGTTGTGGCTGTCCTTGCACCCAGCAGGAGGCCCTTCTACCAGCCTGGGCCTCCTTGGGTACTCTTGTGGGATGTCCGCTTGTGTCTTTTCTTTTACAGTGGCCCTCTTGACTGCAGAATGGCTAAGGAGTAGTAGAAGATTCAAACCAAGGACCATGGACTAGAGTCCTGGCTGAGAGACAGGCCTGAGCAGGTCAGGGTGAGTCAGCTCTGTACTGAGGTCACTGCCCTGAGGTCACTGCCCTGGACAGTCCAACCCCTCCCCGTTATAGAAACTTCTTTATCTGGCCAAGTAATTCATTCTCTTTCATAGGTGCTACCATAGAGAGTGCTTCTCTACTCTCGTTATGCAGGAAAGGAAGCTAAGGCTCAGACGGAATAAATTGTCCTGGTCACATCTAATAAGGAATGGGGTCACACAGTCCATCCAGGTCTCAACACTTGAGAGATCTGTAGCTGCAAGAGTTTGAACTACCCAGACTCCATCGTGAGTGCAATCAAGTCGAGTTTCTCAGCTAGGATGGAGACTCTGTGAGGGACTTTCACCACTTCCCCTATGTCTTATCTCTTGCCACCTCTTTCCCACACTCTGTGAGCCCCAGTTAGGGACAGATGTAGTCCCAGGGTACACCCTAAGTTGCATTGAGAAACCACTGGCCTTTTCAGACTTTTTCAGCTTCTGCAACACAACACACACACTCACTTCTCTCCCATTTACTCATCTTCTTAGAGTCAGATCACAATCCTAGCCCATCCATTATGATGTTAGTATGCACAGAACTAGAGACAATGACATGTGCTGGCAAGGAAGTAGAGAAAGTGGAACCTCTGTGCTTTGTTTACAGGAAAATACAATGGTTCTGCTGCTGTGAAACAGTACAGTGGTTCCTCAAAGAATTAAATATAGGATTACAATATGACCCAGCAATTCCACCTCTCAGTATGTGCCACAAGATTAAAGGCAGGAAGCCCAAACACACACACACACACACACACACACACACACACAGAGTACACCAGTTGTAGCAGCATCTTTCACAATAACTACAACCCATGAGTTTACCATTACCACCAGCTAATGATGGATAAGCAAAGAGTAGTAGGTACAGACGAAACAGACCATGGAATACTGCCTACCCTTAAAAAGGAAGGAGATGCTGTCCAACAATGGTGGTGTGTGCCTGCAATCCCAGCATTTGAGATCCTGAAGCAGGAGGAGGGTTCCAGACCAGCCAGGGCTACATAGTGAGTGTGAAGTCAACCTGGACTACAGAGAGGCCCTGTCTGAAAAAAAAATGCAAGAATAAAAAGGGAAGTTCTTACTCATGCTACATCATGGATTAAGCATGAAGCCATTATAATACATGATAAGCCAGATATAAAAGAACAAATGTTCTTCCCTTACATGAAATGCTATTCGATTGTGGAAAGAGAATATGACGTGGCAGTTACTGGGCACTTGAGGATTTGGAGCAGGGGTGGAACTGGGATGGCGTCCTATCTCCATCACTGAGCTACATCCTCAGACCTTGTAAAAATTCTATTTCGAGACAGGGTCTCACATGTTTTCAGGCCATGATGGGCCTTGAACTACCAACCCTCCTGCCCTTAGCATCCTACTGAGTAACTGATATTAAAACACGAGCCACCACATCTGGTAGGAGTTATTATTTAAATGGATGTAAAGTTTCAATTTGGAAGATGAGATGGTTTCAGAAATGGAAAGTGGTGATAATATGAATATGTTTAATGCCAATAAACTGTACAGTTAAGATGGATAGGTGTGGTGGTGTACCCAAAGAGAGGCAGCAGACTGATCTCTGTGGCTTTGAGACCAGCCTGGTTTTTATAGCAAGTTCCAGGCCAGCCACAGCTACATGGAAGACCCTGTCTCAGAAAATCAACAAATAGAAACAGATAAAATTTGGCTGGCTCAGTGGGTAAAGGGCCTTGCTAATAGCCTGACAACCTGAGTTGGATCCCCAGAAGCCAAACAATGGGGGGAAACTGACTCCTGAAAGGTGTCCTGATCTACATAGGGGAGCCATGACACCTGTGTGCTCCCCCCATACAAACACACACAACACACACACACACACACACACACACACACACACACACACACACACTAAAATGTTTTTAAGTCAAACTCTACTGCCACAACTTGAAAACATTAAAAAGCAAAGCTCTCTGGAAATCCCTCCCTGATACTCCAAAGCAATGAGAAATTGACTTGTCTCATGATGGACAGCAACTTATGGTAAGTTTTGTACTAAAAAGTATTAAATGTATTACGTTTCAAAACTAGTAGGTAAAAACAGCACCCAAATGTTTTGACTTGAAAATACTGCCGAAGTTGTATTTTCCTCGAATTCATTAACAAGCTCTATGTTTTCGTGAAATCCTTCTTAGGAGGATGAAGCAAGAGCCCAAACACAGGATGAGTGAGGAAGGGTCCACAGTCCAGACCTGCCGGGAAGACTAGTCTACAGCGACTCTGCCTTGCCACACCGGGTACCACAGTCCAACCTGTACTGTAGAAGCCAGGTGACGGCTCCAACCTGAGAGGGAGATAGGACACAGCAAGAAAACTGGGCTCGGGGCAGGGGACCAGCTGGGCACCAATCCGGAGAGGTCCAGGCAGATCCAGAGCAGCCATCCATCAGTTTACTCCGCATCTTCCTGCCCCTTGGAGGCTACTGAATCATGTCGAGGAGGAGGAAGCCGGAGTATAAAGGATTGTGCTTTGTCAGGGACAGAGAAACAAAAGTAGACGCAGCTCCTGGGCGCCTTACTCTTGCGGTCTGGACTCACTGCTGAGAACAGGAGAGGCAGAGGTATTCAAGTGAGAGGCCAGGTGCATACTGGCTGGAGAAAGACGGAAGGATAGTGGCTTCCTGTGTTCTGAGGAAGGGCACTGGGACACACCACAGCGCCGCCGCAGTGAGGGAGGCTTGCATAGCTGGAAGGACCTGTCCTGACAGCTCTCTATGGAGGGTGGAGCAGAGCCAGAGGAGGAAGGACCTGGCCGGCCTGGGCAACCTGAGGTTCCAGGTCTGCTTGGGTATGCCCTGGTTCTGTGACCTTGGCCAGCACCTTTCTCTTCTAAGCCTATTTTTCTTCGTCTGCTGAGTAGTCAAAATCTGCCTTTGCCACTCACCGGATTTGTGAGCCTCTCATTTGGTAATGGACCACGCCTGTTTTTCAGACACACCTGCTTGTGCAATGCCGATGTCTAGCAGCGAAAGCGGAAACACCTACAGGGCGAGCCCTCCACCGGCTCTGGAAGCCACCCACTTGCAAGAGGTGCCTAGGACCGTCGTGTTGTGCGGAGCTCCCTCTGGGCTGCCCCATCCACTGTCCTCCGCAGCCTTGGGAGCCAGGAGGGTCCAGGGCAGCCAGAGGCAGTCATGACAGAGCCGGTGGCCGGGGCCGAGGACCTGGACACTCTCATCGACGAACTGGATTACCTGCCCGGCCACTTCCACCTGGAGATGCAGCTCAACTTCGAGCCGCGCTCACCGGCTCAGCTGCGTGCCCGGGACCTGAAGCTCCAAAGGGAGGGTCTGCGACAGGAGCTGGAGCTGGTGGCCACCCCGCAGCTGCCTGCCCTGCGTCACCTCCTGGGAACCTTTTCCTTCTACCTGGAGGAGCTGGAGGAGGCCCGCGAGCGTTTCCTGGAGGTGGCCCGCGAAGACCCTAGCAGCCTCAACGCCTGGGCCAATCTGGCACACGTCTACGGGCAGCTGGGCCAGGAGGAAGAAGAGGAGGCTTGCACCGCTAGACTGGCCAGCCTCATGGGCCTGGCAGGGGACCCCGAGGATTCAGGAGACCCACGGCTTCGCGCTGCCCGCTGCCTGGCAGAGCAGGGATATGCACACGGCTTCGATGTGGGCTGTGCCAGTCCAGAGGAGCGTGCTCAAGTACTGGAGGCGGGTATCGCGCTCTACGATAAGGCGTTGGGCTATGGGCAGCAGGTGAGTGCTGGAAGGACTCATCCACTTACTTTTCAGGGATGCCCCCCACTATTCCCGGCCCAGGCTGTCCAATAGCTTTGCATTCCTGGGCACTGCCTACCTAGCTCTCTGTTTCAGGACGCAGGCAAATCCAGCTAGGCTAACTTATCTGTTCTCCTTCCTATGCACTTGTGCCGGATGAGAGGCACAAGCAGACACCAGAAACTTGACAGATTTCCTTCCTCCTCTCTCCCCTCATCCAGGTACCTATCCATTTAGACCCCAAATTTTGTCAGCCCCACTGCCTCAGCTTAGAAGGACCTCGTCTCCTCCCCAGCCTTCCTCTGCCAGCCCAGCCTCTGGAACTTACTGCCTGGACTATGTGGTCGCTCTCCAGCTCAGTTCTCCCGCCCAGGCTTCACAGTTGCTGCATCTCCCTGGCCGTGTCTTCAGCGCAGCCCCCTCCACACGGGCTGGCAGAATGAGTCCTAATCTTGAGTGGCGTTTGAGACCCTCAGTCCTCCATCCAGGGGATCACTATGTCCCAAGCCACTCACTCCCTGTGGACGGGCTGCTTACAGCTCCCTTCCTTCCTGTGTCTTGTCTGCTTCTTCCTGGGGTACCTCCTGCTCCTGTGGCCTGCAGAGCCCTCGGCAACTCTCAGATTTGCCTCAAATTCCCCCACGATTCAGCTTCCCCGGCACTGTCCCTCCAGCTCAGTCTCAACAGTTTTGAGAGATGATTTATCACCATACACCAGTCTGGTACACAGTGGCACTCATAGTCCTGGCACTAAATAGACCCTATGTAGTTATCATCTGTCATGATCAAGGACCTACTCAACGTTGCGAGCATCCCTGTGAGCCTGGAATCAAGGCGTGGTTCTACTCAGTGCTTAAGGGCTATGGTGTCCTCTGAAGGTTTGACTGACTGGGGACCATCAACAGCCACACTAGTTCATAATCAATAGGGTATAGTTCCTAGCTGGTTGTTTGTATTTCGCTGTTTTCTGTTTCTTAGAAACAGGCCAATGGGTCCAGCCCACACTGCAGGGGAGTGGGTTACACAGGTTAGAAATAGTAGCAGGTGGGTCTCACTGGTGGGCATCCCAGAGGCTGCCAGTCACTGAGGCAGATGGGAGAGTGATGTGGGAATGTTACCCTCTTGAGAGCAAAGCTCTGATACATCTCCATTCACAAAGCCTCCACACGTCCTGCGTGTCTTTCCAGCACAGCATACAACCAAAGGACAAATATTGGAATGGTGACTTCATGGAGGCCAAGTTGGAGGGTCTGGACTTGACAACAGTGCAGGACAGAGGTCAAGAGGGGATTTAGGCTGAAAGGGTCCCAGTCCAAGTCCCAGCTTCCTGCGCTCTCTAGTTCCAGTCAGCCAATACCTGGCTTTCCAAGTGCCCTTTCCCTCTTGGTGAAAGGAAATAATAATGGCATGTGTGTCATAGGCTTTCTCATTAGCGTAATGGTGGCACCATTTGGTTGATGGCATAATTAAGAGTTAATGTTTGTAAAGTTCCTAGAAAAGGCCTCCACAGACACCGCTGCAGGTGATCCTCCAGCTCCTCACCTACAAAGCCTCCTCCACCCCCAGGCATAACGGCGGGCATGGCATGGAGTCAGCCATGAACTTGGGATTAAATGCCAGGCCAGGCCACCGGGCATGGGCAGTGAGTGCAGTCAGCACTGTGTATGTTGAGTGTGATTGTGATCACAGGTCACAGCAACAGTGTGGTGCTTGAAAGAGCCCTGGGTGAGGAGCTGAAGGTTTAGGGACCCAGCCTTAGGGACACACCACAGTGGAGGTTTCTTCCCATACTGCCATTTCCCATCTGTGCAGTAACAGGAAGGGAGACTTACAGCTACTGAGGTCTTTTTCTGATCTCGGGAGGCGTCCGTGTGCGACAAAGGCTTCCTAGAGGATGGGGTCAGTGAGGCAAAGGCTTAGGAGTGGCAGGCCAGCAGAGGCCAACTCCTCTCCTGTCCGCGTAGTCAGCACCAGCCACGCAGGCACTGAGCAGCCTGTGGACAGCCAGAGGATGGGATGCCGAGAGGCTGTCGCTTTGGGGAGTGCCCCTCAGTTCTGTGCAGAGCATCTCAGTTCTGTGCAGAGCAGCTGTGGTCCTGAGACAGGCAGGGTTTGCCAAGGCTCATGCCCATGCTCATGAAGTATGTGGAGCTGGTATGTGTTCAATAAACGGGACAACAGTGATGATTCTGGCAATGGCTGTTCCGGACTTGGGTTGGAGAACTTGGCTCTGTTAGTGTTTTTGCTGCGTGGCTTAAACAGGCTGTTGGTCTCTGGACTCGATGCAGACTTCACAGATGCCAGTACAGGATCTCTCCCTGAGATGTACTATGATTATCCTGTCAAATGACAGGTAGACCTGGGCGTGCCTAGTGGGTGGTTACTGAATTTCTCTATACTTACCCACATCTACTGTGTGCCAGGCTTGTATTTAAGAAGTCTCAGCATCAAGAAGTTCCTGAACAACAGAGAAAGCAAACATTAGTTCCTCTATTAGTCACCTTACTCAAGCCCTTCCTCTGGGAGCAGAAGCCAAAAGGACAAGTTAGAGATGCCCCCAGAGCTGCCTGAGGTCATGGCACATGACATTCTCTAACTATTGAGCATCAGTTCCCCAGGGCCTGACGACAGACATAGACATCAGTGGCACATGGGGACCTAATGTTGGCATCAGCAGTGATCTGGAAAATTCAGGTCCTGTGCAGTAGAGAAGCAGTGTGCACATTCTAGAGAGGTGACACTTCCAGCAGATGTGACTGATGGAGACTTCAGGAAAAGGTGGAAATCTGTTAGCAGGAATAAAATAAGGGCATTTCCAGCATAACGTCTGTCAAGGCCCTACATCAGGAGCTTACAGAGCAGGAGGCTTCAGAGACAGTTGGCCTGGGGTGGAGATGAGGGCCAGAAGGAGCAGCCTGAAGCTTTGTAGGGATCGCATGATGAACCAAGAGCTTCGGGCCTGGCCTCTGAAACTGGGTCCCCCCTTCCTCTTTAGCCACATTCCCTGACTGCGTTGGCCCCTCTCACAGAAATTCTCAGACATCCTGTGCAGCTTTCTCCCTCCCCGAGTAGGACTGCCCTCTTGCCGAGAAAGCAAATGCATCCTTAAGAGTTTAGCCCATGTGCCACCTGCTTCTGGGAGCCTCCTCACAGAGGCACCTTAAACTTCATTTTTCAGGAGAACCCCATGGTTTAGTTGAGAGGGAGCTGAGACACATATAGCAGTTTGCCTGAGGGTAGTGAGCTAAGTGGACTTGAGTGGTCCATTCTAACCTGCCTCAAGGCCTTTGCTTTTCTCTGGGATAACAAGGTGGTCAGAGGGAGACCCCTCAAAAGCCCTCTCAGGAATCTGGGATGGGGAGTGCTGAGAGAGCTCAGGTAGGCCAGACACCATTTTGGGGGGTGATCATTGAAGGAGAAAGCAGAGGCACTCGGGGTAGGAAGCAGGAGGAGGGACTCCCCAGTTTCAAGAGCACTTGTGGGAGCAGTGGAGTTGAGCAGTGGCTACCACAGCTTGTGCAACACACAAGGTTTTCTACCTGTTGGGAGGTATTGCAACAGACAGGCAGGATGAACCAGGAGCTCCTTGAGGCCAGAGGACAAATGACCGCTGTTGTGTAGTGGCTGCTGTCTAACCCTGACTACAAAGGAAACAGTGTGAAGCTCATCATTCGACTGCAAATAGTGTGGGGGAGGGGATGGGTCTTCAGGATGTCTGCTCTCTGCTCTCATTCCCTGTTGGGAGGTCTGGGGTTGTGGTACTGGGGAAGGAATCTGGGCCTTGCTACACTAGACAAGAGTTCTATTGCTGAGCTGTACCTCTAGTCTAATTTCTGGACAAAATTATAAAGATGTGTTGTTATTATCAGTCTTCCCTTCCTAAGCAGACCACCTTTACACACACACCTCACACACACACCTCACACACACACACACACCTCACACACACACCTCACACACACACACATGCACACACACATGCACGCACGCACACGCACACACACACACACCTCACACACACCTCACACACACACATCACACACACACGCACGCACACACACACACGCACACACACCTCACACACACACCTCACACACACACGCACACACACACACATCACACACACACGCACGCACACACACACACGCACACACACCTCACACACACACACCTCACACACACACACGCACACACACACACATCACACACACACACACCTCACACACACACACACCTCACACACACACACCTCACACACACACACGCACACACACACATCACACACACGCACACACACCTCACACACACACACCTCACACACACACACACCTCACACACACACCTCACACGCACACACACACACCTCACACACACACCTCACACGCACACACACACACCTCACACACACACACATCACACACACACACATCACACACACCTCACACACACACACACGCACACACACATCACACACACGCACACACACACACACACACGCGTGCGCGCGCGCGCGCGCGCGCGTGCGTGCGCGGGCCAGAGGGGTGGGGGAAAGGCAGAAAAGACCGAGAGTGACTGATTTGCAGCGATCCCTGGCCACAGACCTCAAGGTCCCGTTGGCATTAAGAGCACACGATTTGTCTTTAGCCTGATTAGGTGGAGATTCCGCCCCAGCCCCAGGTGGCTGCAGGTAGGTCATGTCACTTCCTGAGCCTCAGTTTCCTTGTCGGGCACTTTGAGATCCTAACACTGTCCTAGGGTTGCTGGGAAGATGACAAGGGCATGTAAGCACCAGGTGGGCTATGGGCTGGGACCCTGTGCAGCTCCCTCCCCCAGCATCTGGCCCGTGCAAACACCGTGCATGGCTACACACCAGACAGTGCCCGTGGTTCTTCCTGGAGGGAACTCTGCTTTGTCCCATGAGGGGTGAGCCCCCTCCTAAGAGAGAAGACCAACAGGTCCAGCTGTGTGAAGTTTTGTGA